CTATGGAAAACGGAGACGATAGGGAGCCAAACACGGGCAGCACTATCAACTCTCCTGATGCGAGGAATTCAGATGATCTCCACCCCGATGCAAACGCACTTGCCCTGCACCGTGAACCCACGCTACAAACGACAAACACGAAGATAGAAATAGTAAAAACAGTCGAGTTCGCCTTCCGTCGCCAACAGTGAGGTCTCCCCAGGCTTCCACCAAGCGAGAAAAGGTATCATGACGAACAGAATGTATGCACTATGGGAGGAGGGAAAGAAGGGACCGGATGTCGACACAGCACAAAGGCTGGCTTATGCGTTAAAGGGCGGAACGAATGCCACAGCAACCGCCCTACACCAAGTGACACATAAACAACGCACCGAAAGAAGCGCTTTACAAAATAACATAACTTCACAATATTAACATTTATTTTAAGCGACTATAAATTAAGTGCTGGTATCATTTTTACAGACATTTTTATTGTAAAGAAGTGTTTTTTGATATTTTGCAGGTTTCTAAGATAATATATGAAAAGTTTTGCCTCTAAAAAATTTTCATTATGTCATTTTCAAAGTAGGGATGGTAATGCTTGTTTTAACACATCTGCATTGCAATTGTGCTGTTGATCGACACGATTTGGTGCGGTTGTTTCGCCATTTTAGAATGCATGGTTAAGGCAACTGGATTCTTTGGCTTGTAGTGGCTTTGTGCATGCGTACATAAATTGCGTCATCCGCGGTTAGAGACCTCTATCTACCGTGGCATTTCTAGTTAACCCTTGAGTTTTGGTGTTTTGTACGTAGTGATGGTGTTGTTGTCTTCTCTACTTTATCTGCTTTGTTACCTGATTTATCTTCGATTGCGTAGTTTCACTTATTTTGCTTATTTGGTACACTTGTTATTTCTGAGTTTAGATGAAATCTAGGTCCTTCGCATGCAATCTAGAGGTATGTTTTGCTGTTTTTTTTTTCTGAGATCAGGTTGAAAAATACAGAGTATGACCCGTTTTTTTCTGTAGTTGCTTCGTGGAACCTCTGGCGAATGTTGTTTTGAAGAGGCTCGAGGCGATGTTTGGTTTCAGAGTCAATCAACGTCTCCCATTGATGAAGTCAGATCTGCTCTCGGATGCGTTTCTAGTCGATCGGAGCTGCCATTGGAGGCACTTCTTATGCGGCGATATGCCCTTAGACTCATGGCCAGAAGTAAACTTCTTCTACCATAGCCAATTGTTTTTCGTCATTTGGTCTGCTTTAGTTCTTTCGCCATTAACAAGACCGAGATGGATGAGCTTTTAATCTACATATGCTCCTATCAAGTGTTTTTTTCGCTTTTTCTTTGAGTTGGTTTCCTATTTGTATGGTAGCTCCTAGACATTCCACTTTTTGATCATGCGGCTTAAAGCTTTTTTGAAGAACCCCTTCTGTTTTCTATTTTTTCATAGATGGAGAGGAACAAATGGAAACTGCATGGGGGGACCCATTTGTGTCTGCTGAAGTTTATGTCCAACTCAAATGTCTTTTGGTTGAAAGATCGAGTGTTGGAAAGGTGTGCGTGGTACGAATAATGCTTTTTGCTCTTTAAATTTTTACGAACTATGACCTTTACGTCGACATCATTTGCTTATTACTGCGAGTTTTGGATTTATACCTTGTTTTATTCAGTTTTGTGTGGTTTGCTTTAGAATACAATTCTGAATACTTGCGATGGGTCGGGTTCTTCGCCTGAATATTTTTGCCGGAATTGTAGAAGGTGAATGACGATGCCCTTTAATTTGCCGGAAGCATATACATTGTGAATGGTGATTAATTATTGGGATTTTAAAACTTCTACTTTTGAAATTATTAAGTGGTAATTGGCATA